ATGTAGTCCTCGGCAGACAGAACATCTTTACCAACCAGCAAGGTGGCCACGAAAACTTTACTGATGGTAATTGGAAAAATACCCGTCAATAGGTAACTGTGGCTTATGGCCCTTCCGATGGCTTGGTAGTCGCTGTTTTGGATATCAGGCCCAACTCTTGGGACAAGGGTGGTATGTCCCTCAAAAAACTTCGCAAATGCCATTTCCCAGAAAAGTGTGAACACCTCACGTTTCACACCGACCATGTCAAGTCCTTGCTCACCCTTCCAGAATAAAGGTCAGGATAGCAGAACAAATTTCTGAGGAGGTCTTGTACGTTTGAAGTAACTTTTGCAGTATTTGTTCTCTTGGAACACGGATTTGTATTACCTCACATGCACCACACAATTCCTCTCTAAGCTTTACGCGCCGTTCTGTTAGGGACTAATGATCACAGTAAACAATAATAAGAAGAATGATACGATATGTACATGGTAATGCATCAAAGAAATATTTCATTCCAAAAACTGTGAAGATTTGTAGAAAGAAAGAGTGCGTCCGCGTACATTTATGTACAGAAAGACCAAACAGCTGTATTTGGCTGAGAAAAACTCACAGTAAATAGTGACCAGACTTAGTGATTTGAATCTGAAGTTTACTTTTGCTCAAGGTGTAAAGTAGCCGTCACCAACTACAGTTCTTCCAAGACTTGCGCTAGATTTGATTGACACTTCTTAAAATTTCCGCTTCAAAAGAGGAGATCCCAAAAATAGTTCGGCCTTTTGGGCCTTCAAAATTTTTGTCCAGAAGGAATGGGCCTGGTCGCTATAGATCTACTAAATAAGAGACAGTAAAAATATTACCTCTTCCTCGAATGGTGAATTTTCAGCATGTAATGTAGAATTTGACGAAGTGCTCTAAAAGAGAATAAGAGGTTTAAGTCAATTTAACCAAAACAATGGGTGTCATTTCTTTATGTTGAAATTCAACTACATAACAAGGCTACGCCTGTGACGGTACAACAAAAACGATTAATAAGCAATCCAAGGACCATATTTGATATACCTCAAGGGGGAATTATTGGCATTTTGATTACTCCTCGTCAATAAACTGATAATTCAATTATCTACAGTCTATTATACAATACATAATATCGTCTCATATATTCCTGATTCCCTTGTATACCATTGTATATGTGTTTCAAACTTGGACAATTGAAGAAATGTTTACTAATTTGGGTATCAACGCCAATTTTTTTCAACTTCGCTAACCCATTTCAATGTTTCCATTCATCCTGCATGCTGTCTTCTACAGCCGCATAGCCCTTGAAACTTACTTCAGGAGAGGTGAAGGACATTGGTAATGGTTGCTCCAAACTTTCTACGTAAATGACAACTCTTTAAAAATCAAGGACTTTATCTTGAGGTGATATTGCAACAGCAGGTTCTACATGCAGACTGAGATGTTCAGGATGGTGGTTCAAAGACCCTACCCAATCGTATACTGCCAACATTTTCTCTTTGGCTGAGAAAATGCGACTTATTCTTCCCAGAAAAAGGTGCTGCACAACAATAAGAACTTGCGCTGATGCACCAGCTTCATTATCTGGCTCTTTTGGAACTCTCGCTTCTCTTGCACGACGAACTTCTTCTAATCGTGACAACTCTCTTATTTCGTCCTCTAAAGTTTTTCTTTTCCTGGAATCAATTTCAAGAGATTCTTGATATTCCTTATCTTGCTCAGCTTTCAGCTTCCTCTCATCCCCAAGTTGAGAATTATGCCAACGGGACAAATTGCTGTCTAGTCCAGAAGCTGTGGAAGCAGCCGGCTGACGTTCCGGACCGTCACTCTTACTCTCAAGTTGCAGAGTTTGGCGCCATTTTCTTCCTTTGTCTGACGGGCTAAAAGCACTTTCCATGAGTTCTTCATCATCAGAATGTTCTTCATCTACAAGATCTACAACACTTTCATTGGGGT